ATGTGCCTACATTCCGAAAACCACTAGCACCCCATTATGGACATCGCTCAAGGGGCTTTCTCGCACACAACACACCACATTTCACAATCACTCAAAGTCGCACTCAGGCGTATGGATGTGCTCAGTTGATAAATGCAAGAAAAAGTGCAATTCAACATGGAGATTAGGCCATTTGTCAAGTGAAAACTCGTCCATTTGCGAAGTTGTTTTATTCATGACCGGCTGTCAAGCTAATAGGGTAAGGACAAGCTCCGGTGATGTAACGTGTAGCGTACTCGCTCGGAACGTGTTAGTGCGGATTCAAGTCCAGCCTGGGGTCAAGACCCTTGCCTCTAACTCGGAATTCTTATGATGACTCGTCCATTTGTTGCCCAGATATTCGGTAACTGATGAGTTCAACCAGTACTCCCTCTTAAACCTTCTAATTTCTCTCTGACAAATAGCTGTCGTTGAGGGGGGTCGCGAGTGTTATGAGGGCGCTCATAAGTTTTTGCGGCATTCTCTCAAGGGATTTGCAGATTAGGATGAATCCCATCTCATCTAGCACATAACCAAATCGCGTTCAAATTTCAGCCGAACTTTGCGGGAGATCTTTGGCTGCAGTCGGTCAAGGGGGGGCATGTAAAGGGCTCGTCCCGAAAAATTGGGATTAGCGCAGTAGAAACGAGGAATATTCGCATAGGCCTAGGAATGAAGGAGCTCCAACTGGGTGAACCGACTACGTTGTGCAGAAAGAGGATTTTGCGCCGAATCCATTCCAGAGTTGCACAATAGGTCCTTTACATGCCCTCTGCCCCTTAGATGTCTTGCCCACCCACCTTGAGGATCTGGAACCCTAAACTCGCGCACATGAGAGACAAGTACGTGCCAGTGCTCATGTGGAGAGCTCTAGGGCTGCAGATCCATACACGCTGGGGATGTAAAAAATGCAGAAATTATATGAAATAATGGACTCTGGCCCAGGTATCACCTCTGGTCGCTGTGAGAGAGCCCTTGACTGTGGACAATACAGAGTCAGTTGATCCGAAGGGTGTTCTGGAACCGGTCCGCCAGAGCGCTAATGTGGAGGCCCTGCACGGGTAGCACCGCCATTAAAAATCTTGAATCTTTCCCCGTTTGTTCTAAACAGGCCTCCATCCTCCAGACGTCAAGTACCTGTTACTGAAGCTGGCTGAGTGCGCACTGAAGTGGCACCACGATTCCGAATCAAAGCCATGTACATGGCCCATCCCAAAGCTTCTAGCCAGCAGTTCGACGCTTCATTTTCGTACTTCTGATCTCGTACATTCAGGTGGAATGGGATTCGCGATACAAGCTTGCGAAAGATGATCGTGAACTTCGCATGAAAACGGTCAGACTTGACGATAGCGGTAGATATCAGTGTCAAGCAACGAACGGTTTTGGTCATCGGACGGTGGATTTTACAGTACACGTATACGGTAAGCAGTAATATTGAGTATCTTCAAGAGTACTGCTACACTGATCATTTCCAGATCCATCAGAAGACTCGGTATCCTTGAAAGACGTAATAGTTCTCGCTGATTCAAGTAAGTTTGTCCCAGAAACTCTACTAAAATGGCGATTTCCAAAAAAGTAGTTGGTGGTTCTGCATAAAAGCACCTCTGCCCCCTCTGAGATTCAGAATAATGGTTGTACACAAAAATTACCTTTTTTGGATTTTCGAAATAGTATTCTCCTCTGCAAGACAACCTCTATGTCCCAAAAAAATCTTAGAACAAAGACCTCGATTTCAATGTTCCATTACCGTATCTACTAGTACAGTGCACTTTGGCGTTACAGCATCTGCTCCGGCGTGGCTGATCGACATGAACCTCGATTGGTCCTCTCCTATGCAAATTAATCGAGGAGGTCGTATGGAACTGCGATGTCCAGCGCGGGGTAATCCTTTGCCGGAAATTCGATGGTACAAGAATAACATACGTATCACTACTGGTGAGTAATATGTCAACTAGTTTCATAACTGAAGATGACCAATTCCCCGACCGCAACTTATGAAATCATCGCACTCCGATGAGATCGAGCTAACGTCCGCGTTCGGCCGAAGTTCGGTCTTCATAGTGTCACCTTCCGATTTCCGAAAACCTGTCAGAACTGGCAGCCGTAGGAGAGCGATTATTGCCATACATTATTATTCTTCCATTCTCTCGCTGCTTGTACCTGATACATTCATGCATTACTCGAACCCATTCTAATTTTCGTTTCAAATTCTATTTTTCATGCTCACACTCCTAGTTGTTTCCAAAGTG